GCAGGCCTAAGCCAGCAGGTCGTTATCTCCCGAGGGGTCCCAGACTGCGAGAGGGCACAGGCTGGGCTGAGGGACCCCCCCTCCCCCCAAGTGCACAAATTTTTGTGCACCGGGCCTCTAGTATTATAATAATCCAGTAATGCAAATTTTATTATTCTGAAGAAAAACTGGAGGAAACTGGGCTAAAATATGACAAATAGTGGATTTATGGAAATACCCAGTGTGTGGTGGGAGTAGATGCATGATAAGCACAAACATGAAAAAAAATTAAATTGCTCCTGCTAAAGAATTTGAACCTATGAAAATGTCACTCACTCTAATGGATCTTACATTCCTAGCTAGGTATCCATGGTTTTACCACTGTTCACAAATGTTTCCTTAGCATTGTAACATTAAGTATTCATTGCAGAAAAGAGATGTGTGCTCTAGAAGGACCCTCCTTCCCAAAAATCACTGGAAAAAACTCCAGAGTTTGGGCATAGTTATAGCTGTTTTCTAAGAATTTCCTCATCTGCCTTCATAAATGAATGCCTGTCTACCTCATTTGCCTGCAAATTGCAATATATCGGTAAGATAAATCATTTGGCTTCTCTGTTAGTCCTGAGGGATATGAGCATAGCCCACAGATCTACCAGCAGCTGACTGCCTGGTAAATGTTTACTTATAAATTAGCATGGGTGATAATTTATTAAGGTAATAAGCATAGATTACATTTAATGGCTTAGACATTATGCATTATAAACACAGTATTTTATTTTAGTTGAGGCAAATGTATATGGTTATTAATATGATACCTAAAGGTAACTCAGAAATTTTGAATTAGAGCATTGATTAAGTCAAGCAATGTATTACAGTGCATCAATACTTAATTTAAGGGCTTTACGAAAGTTTCACAATGGCAAGGCAATATCATATTGTTCACCTATTCCATGTATCACGATTTGTTTATTTCTCTTGGATTCTCTTCTCCTTCCCCCATAAAAGACTCATTCTGTTACTGAAGAACATCGGTTCTCTCTTGACAAGTATCACAGCATTAAAACTTTGGCATCTGGAGCTGAGGTGAATAATCTGTCAGCAGGGACACCATGACAGCCTAAGATGACACAACAAAGAGAAAGAAAGAAATGGGTATTAGCAAGAGTCTGCTTAGAGACCTACGGAAGAGGAATTGGATTGCTGCTTTGAATGCCTGTGGTTAAAATAAGTTTTTCCCAAAGAAATGATAAGGAGACAGTTCTGATCTAATATTTAGTTTTATTTAAAGAAAGGTCACAAGAGATCAGACTGACTCAAATATGTGCACAAACACCATGCTTACTTGGGCCTCATTCCAGGACTAGTTGAAATGAGATATCATGGTGGTAGCCATGATTAGATTTTCCAGTCATAAGTGAAACCTAGGTATTGGCTGGTTTTTGAGAAATATAATTCCTCCCATCCTCATTTTTATTCTGTGGTTTTGGCGCTTGTAATATATATCAGATGTAAAATAATAAAAGTAAATCATCTGGGCTAACAAATAATGTCTATCTGAATCTGAGTCCTCATGAAAAAAAAAAGTATATCCAAGAGTATAGCTTCCAAATAGACTATCAGCCACAAATGGTAATTTTCACTTTTACCCTTCCCAACTTCCAACATTATGGCAATAGTAATAATATTAAACAATATGAATGTTCAATAAACAAAAATGTTTATTGAATGTTTACTATGTGCCAGATTAAATGCCTTATCATGTTTTAGTGAGTTAAGAAATATTTGCCAAGTTCTGTGCTAGGTGCTGTGGTAAGCCAGAGATAAATGGTTGTGCATTATTTCACTTAATGAAACAACCTTCTAAGGTAGCTTCTGTTATTATCATTTATTCAAATCTACCCTGGTAATAACAGATAATACAGAACTGGGTTTAGACCCAGATTTCTCTGTCTCTAATCTTAAGAAGTAGTTTTACTACCTTACAGGTACTTGCTCCTCTTTCCCACCATATTCCATATGTGTTCCTAGCCTATATCAGAAATGCAGGTCATATTTAAAAGGGGTTCAATGAGTATATTTGTTGAGCAGTTACCATGTCCTGGGCCCTGTGCTGAGTACTTTATGTGTATCCTACCATTTAATATCCTTTCCTGCTGTGTGAAGTGTTGAGATATAAAATATAGATGAAGAAACTGAGGCCTATGTATTTTCATGAGTGGTGATTGTAAGGGATGTATCATCTGCACCTGTCTGTCCCTAAACCTTGACCACAATGCTCAGATTACTCTTACCTCATTTAATCTTCACAGTCTTATTATGTTGTTTCTATTTTAACCCCATTTTTTATGAATAAACTGGGTTTACAGAAGTTATGGTACTTGATCAAGATTACAGAGAGGCAAGATTTTAACTTGATTTCCAAAGCCTATGTTCTAGAACAAGTACCCTATATTGCCTTCAGGTTACAAAAGTATATTGTGCACATATTTAGGGTGTTTGTCAGGCACCATTCTAACATATAACATATAACAAAGAATATTATAGCCAAGATTAATGCTTTAATGGAGTTTCATTATAGTGGGGAGACAGACAACAAACAAATAAAAGATCAGGTAGTGATAAAAGCCATTAGAAAATAAAATAAAATAAAAATGGTATAAATGGACCTGGGGAACCACTTAAGAGTGGATGGCTAAGGAAGACCTTGTTAAAGGAATGACATTTAAATTGAGATCTGAATGACAAGAAGAAAGTAGAAAAGCTAAATTCTGAGATTAAAAACATCTTCCAGGTAAAATATTTTAAGCTTTTTTATAGGTTCTTGGGATCATATCTCAGGGTGTTTTTGTTGTTCTTAATTGTCATTGCATATGTCAAATTTATTTTTAAAAGTAAAATCTTAGAAAGTCAACTTGGAATAGAGTTTCCAGATTTAGCTAAGAAAGTAAATACAGACAGGCAGTTAAATTAGCATTTTGGATAAACAACACTATTTTTCAAATCTTGCATGGAAAATTAGCTATACTAAACAATTACGTGTTTATCTGAAATTTCAATTTAACTGGATGTCCTGTATTTTATCTGGCACTCCAAACATGAAAACAGAAAGAGACTATAAAATACTTTCTGCAATAATGGAAATGTTCTATGTCTGTGTTGGCAAATACAAATAGTGTAGCTGACAGTCACATGCGGCTCTTTGGCCCCTTGAGTGTGGTTCTTCCACAAAATACCGATTTCTGCGCATGGGCCACGAAGTTTCAATCACACTGTACATGCTTGCCCGCACGTGGTATTTTGTAGAAGAGCCACACTCAAGGGGCCAAAGAGCCGCATGTGGCTCACAAGCCACAGTTTGCCGACCACTGATCTAGGCAAGTTATGAAAAGAAGGGAGAGGAGGAAGGAGATAAAATTACTTCAAATGCCCATTTTGTAGCAGGCACTGAATAAGGGCCACTATACACATTAACAAGAAGATTATAAAATAAGAATTATAAAAACTATAATGGTTGGCAGGCAATGCTGGCTGGTGATCAGACTAATCAAGAGGAGTGAGAATTTCAATTAAAATAGATATATTTGGAGTGAGATTAGTTTTACTCAGTTAAAAGATACTATAAATGACAATAAGCAATAATAATCTGTTATGAACTTTCTGTAATAAATAGATGCCATATAAGTAAGTAGAGTAGTTTGATAATCTCAGTTGCTTATTATTTGCCAAAAAGCATGAATGACCATGTTAGGGCCAAAGAAAGAACTCCTTACACTCTATTCCTCATTTCTTGCTTACCATGATTGTCCACTTTCTGTTTTCAGCCTCTGGGAATACTAGTGATCGTGGAGAATAAAACACTTCATCATCCACTTCTTCTGGCTTTCTGGGCAAGCAGTGTAAAAATGTCCAGTCAGAGGCAGCAACTTCAGCAGTCTAAGGAAAAGATGGGGATAACTCAGTTTTCTGGTACTCTAGGGGGATTGTGGACATTTCAGTAAAAAACTCTATGAGTAATATGTGGCTGATAGCAAAAGTGACCACTTATCCCCCACTATATTTTAAAAGTTACTTTTATGTGATTGTGTTATATTTTGAGCTTATCTCCAAATTATAGTTTTTAGCACTTGAAGCATACTTTATTATCACTTAAAAACAATTTTGAAAAAGAGCGCTGAGATAGGAGTGCATTAACAGGATTATGGGCACTATGTACTATATATTTCATTCTTAATGCAAATGTCCTAACAGTTTTAATTTTCCCCAACAGTTATTTCCTATAAGTTACATTTTCCCATCCATTTCTGTTGTTCACTTATAAATTCAAAACTATATTCCATCATAATTTCTTACCTCAGAATTACTGCTTTTGTACTTAAGTTTTGTTTTACCTCCAACTCTAGGTCTAGGTTCAGAACCTCTGAGTTTCTAAATACTGGAAAAGTGACAAGGGAAAAGAATAACATTTGAACTTGTCATATATCAGTGAGATTAGTGCTCTTCATGTCTACAGTTCCAGCACCAGAAAAATGTCTAACTTTGGACAAGGTAAGTATGAAGTAAACTACAGCAAATTTAAAAATTCTCCATGGATACAGAGAACAGACTGACAGCAGTCAGAGGAGAGTAAGTAAGAAGGCTTGGAGGAAAAGGTGAAGGAATGAAGAAAAAAAACTCATAGACACAAACAACAATATGGTGATTACCAGAAGGAAAAGGGGTGGAGGAGGTAAAAGAGGGAAAAGGGGGGATGATAAATGGTGATGGAAGGAAACTTGACTTGGAGTGCTGAACGCACAATGCAATATCCAGGTGGTGTAGAATTGTACACCTGAAATATATATAATTTTGTTAACCAATGTCACCCCGATAAATTAAATTTAAAGAAAAAGAAAAGAAAAATTCTCCATAAAACCATTTGCCACTTATATGACAAGGGATTGGCCATAATATATAAATAACTCCTATAACCAATAATAAAAAGCAAAAAATAGAAAGTGGGCAAAGGATATGGTAGCAGTTTATAGAAAAAGACACAAATAACCAATAAACACACAAAAGATATTTAATTTCATCAGTAATCAGGAAAATACAAATTTTGAAAAGCATGAAATACCAATTTTTAAAGTTAAAAATGTGAATAACTAAAGATGGAGAAAGTGTGGAGAGACTATAAGTTGTAAATCCTTTCAGATAGGCAATTTCGCAGCAATTCCCATGTTTTAAAAAGTATGTGCTATTTCACCCCAAAATTTTTCATCTAAGGATCTATTCTCCAGTAATATTTTCATAAAGAAATAGATATAAAGATGTTCATTGCAGTATTGTTTGTAATTGGGATAATTGAAAATAGTCTAATTTATTAACAGGAAATATTTTAAGTGAATTACAGTCCACTCATACTTTGGAATTCTATACAGCCATTAAAAAGAATGAAAATATCTAAATGAATGGGTAAAAAAACACACTAAGATTTGTTAAGTGAAAAAAGTAAGTCAGAATAATATGTATAATATACCATTTATGATAAACCAATAGTTGTATATATAGGCATCTACTATCTATATAAAACCCTAATATGCAAATAGACCGAATTCCTACCATTTACAGCAGAGTGGATGGAGCTGGAGAGCATTATGCTAAGTGAAATAAGTCAGTCAGAGAAAGATAAATATCACATGATCTCACTCATTTGTGGACTAAAATGAACAACATAAACCAATGAACAAAAACAGATCCAGAGACAGAGAAGCATCGATCAGACCATCAAACCTCAGAGGGAAGGCAGGGGAGGGAGGGGGGAAGGGGAAGAGATCAACCAAAGGACCTGTATGCATGCATATAGGCCTAACCAATGGACACAGACACCAGGGGGTGAGGGTGAGGGTGAGGGCAAGACTGGGGGGATGAGGGGACAATGGGGGGATAAAGACACATTTGTAATACCTTAATCAATAAAAAAAAAATTTTAAAAAAAAACAAGACAGACAAAAAATAAAAACCTAATATGCAAATAGACCTAACGGCAGAACAACTGAACAACTGGACGCTATGATGTGCACTGACCACCAGGGGGCGCATGCAGAACATGGCAGGCATCGGCAGCAGGGAGCAGAAGGCGGC